TGTTTATCAAATGTACAATTATTTTTAAGAACTAAACATATTTTTTATTTTAGGATGTGTTCAATCATCACCGCACCATTCAACAAACTCTGCCAGAACATACAAATAGAAGCGGAGACACTTTTTTTTCAAAAGTAAGATTGCTTCTGGTCTTTAACTCTAACTTCTAGGTTATGCCTGATTCAAAAAACTTAATTCAAGTTTTAAATTGGTAACTTAGTTTAAAACAATTACAATTGTTATTATAAAAGTTTTTTTGTTTTTTATTCTTTTTTTAGGTTGGGGTGGGAGGGGTGCACACGCTCCTCCCACAAGTCAATATGTACACCACCAACAAATGCAAATCTTGTAAAACAATTTCTATTGATGTTTTTTATACTGTATACTAATTTTACTTATTTTATTAAATATAGAAATATTTATAAGAATTGAACATTTTTGAAACTAGGGTGTGTTAAACCATCACCACCATACCCACCATCAACTTTAACATACACCAATTATTGTTGCTGGTCTAGAATAAAATTATAGCAACTTTTTGTATAAAAAAATTATAATTTGCCAAGAAAAGCGCACTTTAATGAATAAAATATACATATTTTTACAGTGAAAGTGGTGGTTTGGGACCCCTCTAGCTCCTGGAAATGGCCAGTGGATGGAGGCAGTTATAAATTTGTAGCTCACTGTTACACCTATCTTTTGATACCAAGTTATAGGTATTTAGATAAAAATTGACAAAGTTATAGTAATTTAAGTGAAGAAAATTTAAATTTTGACCACAGTTTCCTCAACAAATCCCTATAACAAAAATATGCTACTAAAAACCTCATAACTTTTTGTAGAAATGTTTGATTTAATTATTAAATCAATATTAAATCAATTATTTAATATGATTAAATAATTTTTTCACCTTTAAAATACTGAATTTAAGCCCTTTCTAATAATGTATAACAATCTAACCTTTGATCAATTTAAAATTTTCAACCCACATTCCATACTAATAATGTTAAGGTCACATAAGCATGCTACTCCTTTTAGAAAGCACACTTGCATATGCAAGCATGCATGCAAATATATTTGGGAGAAGAAAGAAGTGAAAGCAATTAGGAGTCTACCATGCAAGTAATCCCATACAAAGGTACAATTCATAAGTTTGATGTTGTCATAAAGTTTTAAAATCTGTGATAATTTATATGTAATCAAAATAACTTGTTGATGCCATTGCAAAACCAATAAAAACTATTATTAAATTTATTAGATAAAAAAAAGAGGAAAGAAACTCATTTTTAAAAAAGTATAGACTAAAAAACTCGCTACAAAAGAAAGCAAAAAGATTTTTTTGTTTAGTACAAAAAGAAACTGAAAAGAATAAGATTAAGTATATAAACAATATTTTAAAGATTTTTTTAATGGCAAAAATTTATAGTCTCTAATAATTTAAAACATGAACACAATAATTAAAAACATTAAACATAAAAAACATGATTTCTTGCAAATTTTCCAATTTTGATAAGATTCACTGAATGAAACGATTCAGTGAATCTGACTTTTTGCAACTTCACCAGAACTATTGGCTTTATGTGAGAGGTAATTCCATGTCAATTGACCCAGGTCATGTTACCATACATCTCAGATTTTTCTGCTTTTTATACAGTTAAAAGAAATTAAGAACTCCTTAAAAGTTTTAGCTTCTGGCTCCAAGAAGATTTTAAAATATGACCATTTTATTTTAGCAGATATTAGCCAAGCCCCTCTTGTCCCCTCAGAATTGCAATGCTTATTAAGAGGTTTTAAGTCACACAACTTTAAAAATATTTGATCATTTTATTTAAAAATTTGTACCTTTGTAAAATTGTAAAAATGTGTGCCTTTAAAAATTTGTACCCGGCTTGTTTCAAGGGGTGAATAATCCAATAAAATGTAAATGTAAAAAATTATTTTTAAGTACCTGTATCAATTTAAATAAACTTAGGCAATTTTTTATATATCTGTTTTTAATGTCCAAAAAATCCATGTGACCTTGATGATATTAAAAAAAAAAAATTATTACACATTCTATATTCATTGATCTTTCAAAAAACATGAGAATTTTGATCTGCAAGTATATGGATTTCTTTATATGGAGAAAAGGGCATGGTCCCCACTTTTTTGTAGCGGAATATTGCATTGATTTTTTTCTACCTTTTAGACTAGCTGGAGCTCTGAAACTTTTGGGATTTCTTAAGTGCAGATAAACGCGCATGTTAGAATTGTTTTTAGGGCCCAAGACACCAGGGGGGGGGGCTGGGTTATGTGTTCCACTTTTTTTTAGAACAATCTTGCAATAGATTTTTCACTCTTTTCTGACAAACAAGGTCTAAAAATTAAAGCATTTGTGTAGTCCTGATGAACATGTGCTAAAATTGTTTCCTGGACAGACTACCAGAGGCTCCATGGGGCTGGGGCACTAGGGATCATGCCCCACCTATTTTCTCAAAAAAAAATTTAAAACTTTATCTTCAAAAATTTGTTTGGTTTGTACTTGTTCTGTTTTATTTAATTATTTACAAAAAAAAAGATCCTGTTAAGATTTGGTTAGATGTGTCAATGGTCAATGTATAGATAAGTTCAGTAGCTGTATTAGGTGCATCAATGATAAAAATTGTGTTGGTAATTAAAACCTAACACTCATCAGCTCTAGATGGTCAAAAAAGTTTGTTGAAAGGGACATGCAGGTACATAAACTTTGCCATAAAATCTTTAACAGATGACAAAATTTTAATAATATGCCATCATCATGAAAAGATTTCAATATGATAAATTTCATTTGTAATACCAATCCAATGAAACATCATATTTAAACAGAACAAACCCACCAAATTTTTATGTATCAATGTTAGTTAGTTAATTAATTTAAGAACTCTGACCCCTTCAACTATTTCTAAACAAACAAACTTGTAACACAACGTTCTTAGCCCAACAACTTACTTAATGACAATCAATACAAACTTCGATCTTCTCATCTTAATACTGATTTGTTAACCATAATTTATAAAAAGTTCACGCATTAGATAGAAGTAATGAGGCATGAGCTATTGCTCTTAAAACATAAAAGACTTTTATCAAAGTCTGGTATACTGGTCTTTTCTATAAGCTTCCATTAAATGGTTTTTTTGTAAAACTTTATAAAATTATTGAATCCTTTCTACAGTAACAACATAAATATGCTTTAAATGGTTTATATGTAAAAAAAATTTTAATTATTGAATACTTAGAAGTAAAAATACTGGACCAAAAATAGAAATATAATTCTATTTTTGATCCAGTGTTGTTACTTTATATTACCTTTAACGTGACTTAATTTGTTGATGACAAACAAAAACAACTATATACTCGTCAAAGTCATCACTTTTTTATTAATTACAACAGGGAGCTTGTCATAAGTAATCCCTTTTCAGTAACACAGATCGCATCTTCCTGTTTTCTATAAATACAAACGCTGCAAAGATAAGGTTTTATCTATTTATTAGTCAATTATAGTCAGTAAAGTAAAAATAATACTTGATTATTATTAAAATTTTGATTTTCAATTTTCTTGAATAAAATTTATCATTTTTTAATACAAAAAATTCACTTTTCCAATGATTTTAATGACCAAGATTTAAGAGACTCATGTTGACATATTAGATAATATTAGAGACCTGTCAAAAGTTTAATGGCTTGAATAATTCTTGAAAATAATTTTGATAAAGTAATTTTGGAAATCCAGTTTTATTTTCTTATACAAAACTCATTTAGCGGTTGGAAGACCTTTCTTTTAAATGTTATCTTTATTGATAATTTACTTTAATTATCTGATTTGGCCCCTAACGCCACTGGATTACTGTCATAAATTCTTTGTTTTAAATCCTTCATTGGAAAATATTTTAAATAGTATAAAATAATATATATTATATATAGTATAAAAATTAAAACTCAAAATTTATACAAGATTTTTTTTGTGATTTAACACATATTATCCTAGTCATATTTTAAAAATCCGCAAAATGGTTTGGAAAAAATATCCGCAAAAAATCCGGAATTTGTTTTCCATTATTTTCTTTTTAATTTTGCTTTTAGTTAAGTTGTTACAAATTTTTTTTTTTTTTTGATACTTTTCATTTTTTTTTTTAAGTGATGAGTGAAAAAGCTTAAAAAATAAATAAATTACAAAAATATATACCTCAACTTGCATGTATCGAAAATATTTTGGATATTCGGAAAAACTGAAAGTTGAAAAAAATATCCGGAATTCCAGAAATATCCGGAAAAAGATAATCCCTGATATAAACAAATTTGTGAAAAAAAATATTTTTTGATGTTTTTTTTTTCTCCAAGGCCCTTTTGGCCTTGGAGAAAAAAAAAACATCAAAAAATATTTTTATAACACATTGTAATAAAACTTAACCCTAATTAGTAAAAAAGGATAATACCAGAAAGTACAACCAGTTGTAAAAAATTTCTTTAACTTCTCTATAATGTCATATTGAAATATGAAAAATGCATAATGGAAACCAGTCTAAATCACAATTGCGGAACTATTGACATAAAATATGAAATAAAACAAAAATCGCTGTTTTAAAAAAGCATCTCAAAAGAGTTGACTTACAAGCCTTTAAAAGAGTGACTTACAACCCTAACAAATATTATTTTTAAAAAAACTGATACCAAGAGAAATTTTATAAAAATTAAAAAAAAACAATTTAATTTTTGTTTTTAATAACTTAATTAGATTAAATTCATCGTATAACAATGATCACCATTAATTAGCCTCAAGTAATAAATAAAAAAGGCTGTCAAATACTTTCAAACTAATCAAAAAACATTAGTTACTAATAATTTTGTAAAATATTATATTTTTAAACACAAGAAACAATCTTATAAATATATTTACAGAAATATATTTTTGAAATTATATTCTTTAATTAAAATAACAAAAATAAAATTAGAAAAATTTGAACAAAATTGAATTGAAAACTTACTGTAATAGAGCCGTTGCGGACTTGGAATCAATGGTATAATAAGCAAATATATAAGGTATATAAATGAAAGTCCATTATAACGAACCAAGCAAGCTAATTAAACAAAAATAAAATATGTACATAAAGATAATATAAAAATTTATTAATGTTCTTACCTTTTTTCAAATTGTTATCATAAAGCAATTTGGGAATCTCAAATGGGCTATAAGCCATTCATCCTAGAAGAGCCTTTTGGAAATTAAAAATTATTTTAATATATTTTGAAACAATTAAACAAAGAAATTAAATACACCTTTTCTTTTAAACATCTTTACTTATGACAAAGTTGCAAGCAACCACTATTAGACTTGGAAATTACTACAAGAGAAAAGATAATGCATCTTTTCTATAGCACAAGATAACGATTAACAGATGACTTAAAATATTGCAAATAATATAAATCAGGAAATTATATAATTCAAGAAATTATATAAATCAGGAAAACAAGATGAAAAGAGCAAATTCCAAAGAACTGATATTTGAGGGGGGAAAACTAGACAAATAAGAATTTTTAGTGAACTAAGAAACAGTCATCCATTTGACTGTTTCTAAGTTCACTGAAAATTCTTAGCATTAGCAAGTCCAACTATGTTTACTATGCATTCATGCAGCTTGTCTAAATGAAAAAAGGGCATCATTCGAAGAATTGTTCCAGATATGGCAACAGTATACAATAAAAGAATGGATTTAAGACTTTAACAGATAAAGAATAAAATCCGGAGCAAGAAATTAGCAAGTACAATAAAGAATGCAATCTTAGCAGATGATAATTCTCCAATGGATTTGATATATGATTTTCAAGAAAGGTCAAATGTAAGAGTTAATCCTAGAAGACAATGGATAGATTACTCATCAAGTACATTATCTTTTATAAATATAAGAAGATCTAGACTACTGCGATAATGATTAGCTGAAAAAAATTGATCTTTATAGAAGACCAGCATGTTAAACTTTATCAAAGGTTTTAGAAATGTCAAGAGCAATAGCCTTAATCTCTCCACATCAGAAAATACTTCTGCAAAAAATAAGTTCTGGACCAGAAACTACCACAAGCTGAAGAAGATTCTAAGCAGGAAATCACTTTAGATACAGAAGCTGAAGTAATTTGAATCTCAAGCAATGGATAAACCTGTTTGCCAGCTATATCCGGTAGGATGTGATTAGTGGAATCAAGAGATAAAATTGATGTAAAGTTCTTAGCAAACAATTTAGCTTTGTCTTTAGGTAAGGTAACAAAATCTGAACCATGAAATCAAGGAAGAATAACAGATATGCCCTTATAATAGACACTGTTAAAGATTTTCCGTATGTCTCTGGAGCCTAATTTTTGAGATGAAATACGAGATTTTGTGACCTGAGAATAATGGGCTTTGACATTACACAAAATCTTTTTAAAATGATTTTTAGGAATAGTAAACAAAGGTCTGTTTTCTGGCAAGTTGTTTTGGAGATAGATATGGAAGAAATGGTTACAATTAGAAATTGAAGCAGCATAATAAAAAAAAACATGGAGAAAAGTAAGGCTTGACTTAGAATCGCCAAGAGGGAATAAAAGAATAATTAAGAAGTAAGAATAAGGGATTCTGATGATAAAGAAGAATCAGATAACAGTTTTAGAGAGATCAAACTGTGATCAGAAGCACCTAAGGGTAAATGTGGAGGTTCTCTACTCAACTTATGTCTTGTTTCTAGGATCAGAAACAAGACATAAGTTGAGTAGAGAAGGCAAATGATATGGATTGTCTGGAAAACAATTTGGAAAATTGACTATTTGTGTTATTGATTGAGAAAAACAATATTTGTAGGTCTTAAAGCCTGCAGAGTCACTGACACTAGAACTAAGCCATTTAGAGTGATGACCATCAAAGTCACTAATAACAACGATATTAGCTGAAGGATAAAGAGAAAGGGTTTAGCGAATTTTATCAGAAATAACATCAAAAAAAGTTAAGCCCTGAAATGAAGCAGAGCGATATAGACAAAGAGAAAGCCAAAATAAAATAATAGTCAATGTTTCCCTACAAATGGGTGAATTCTTATGAATATAAATGCCTAGGCCAAACATGTGATTATTGGAGTCTTTACGAATTAAAGGAAGATAACCATCAACACTAAGATCACTAGATGAGACAGCTGAACTCAAATTAGTCTCACAAAGAGCAAGTAGGTCTAGTGACCTTTGCAAGAGATAAGACTCAACAGAAGAAAAGTTACTTCGAAGACCACGTATATTAGTGAATGATAGAACTTGAGAACTTGGTGGTGACAATGGTTTTCTGTGTTTTATAGCTTTAATTCACTTTATTTATAGTTCTGCAAAACTAATTCTTTAATTGTCTGAATTAAAGTGTTAAACTTTTAGTGTTACAGGGCTCGAATTAAGTGATCGCGAATTGCGATATCTGGAAATGCTTCCGGTCTTTAAAATTTTAGCTTTTTAAAAACCGTAAAACTGTTTTATCACTAAACCCAATAGATATCATTTAACAAAAAAATATTTACGCCGATTATGATATAAAATCTAAATGTAAAACCATATTATCACTATTATTTTTACTATTATTAAAGATTATAATTTAAACTTTAATAATTTAATTTATGTTATAAAACATCAGATAAAACTAGAAAAATAAAGCACGATAAAGTACGATATAAATATTAAAAAATAAGTGCTAATCACAACAATCTAAAGGACTTTAACAGTGATCGAATATTTTAAATAAAAGAAATGGTTAATTCAGATATAAAATACTTTTATATGTTGTTTAAATCTCATTCAATATTTTCTTATAAATTAAACGCTTGTAACACTTTAGCTGATATGAATATAAAATTAAAAGACGGAAGAGTTAATATATAAAAACTAAAATTTAAACTTTTTAATAGTTACTTTAAAACAAAAAAAAAGAAACTCTAATAACATATTTTAAAAAAATATACTTTATAATTTTTTTCTTATTAAATAATTAAATTCTAATTTAAAACATTTAAATTTTTAAATAAATAATTCCATAAATTTTCCCCCTAAATAAAAATCTATTTTAATGTTTAATATAATGCGCAAGTAGCTTTAGCATACTTTTTTATTGGTTGTTTTTTTCTACAAAGTTTTATACAACCCGCAAATAGCTTAAGCATAGTTTTTAATTGGTTGATTTTTAAATTACCGCAAAAGTTTTTCGGACCTTTAGTAATAATAATTTTTGTCTTGCAACTTTTTCTTATTTATAATCCTTAAATTACATAATATTATTATTTAAAAAAACAATAACTAATAATATGTAAATTTTGACTGTTATTTTTTTTGCAGTTGTAAATTTATTGTTTTGCTTTTTCATTAATTTTTGCAATATGATAAACTGATCGTTTCATTAAAACAGTGTTTACGGTTTTTAAAAAAACTAAGAATTTAATGACCACTGATATTTCCGGATATTGCAATTCGCGATCACTTAATTCGAGCCCTGTGTTAGTATATTATTATTTTGCATAATAAAAATGCAAATATTATCATAAATATACAAAAATTTGAATGTAAAATTAACATGAAAATTAACTTCAAAATATGATTAAAATTTTACATTTTTATTTTACATATTTAGTGAATATGTTTTTTACAATAATTAATTGCAACTTAATGTTTTTTAAATAAGTGCAACAAAAACTATTACATAAGATAATTTAAATATTTTTATGGTTAAAGTTTTAGCTTCAGACAAAATGACTTAACATAAATATTAAAACATTTTTTTTACATTAAATGCATACAACATAACACTTCTTAACAAGAAGTGGAATTAGTAGTCATTATTTATTTGGTTAGTTTTTACCAAGTTCATAAAATTTTTTAGAAGGGAATTGTCTTCTCTTTGTGAATTGTGTTCTGTACAAACAAGTTTATGAAAAATTATAAAACAAATGACTAAGTTGTTTTTAAGGCGCCGAACTTCGAGTGACTTTAAACCAAGCAACTGTACTCTATTATGATAGGACAAATTTTGAAGCTTCTTAATTTTCTTTGTAAATTTTGATTGGGCAATTTCAACAGATTTAATCAATTCAATTTAGTGTGGTGACCAAACTAGTGACTAATATTTTAAAATTGGTGTTATATATGAAGTGAAAGCTCTAACTAGGATATAAGAGTTGCGAGTTTTAAAACATTTTCAAAACATAGTATGCTCTAGAGTTAGCTTGATGGATGAAGTTAGAAATGTTTTTTTATAATTAAGGTTAAGCCAAAGTACACTCACTAATGAGTTTTAAGTGCAAAACACTTACTACTAGCAACTGTCGGTTTTCAAATTTCTGTCCATAGTATGAGTTTATTTAGAGCAACAACTAAATCTTGGCTTAGATCCATGTCACTATATGAACTATAACTTTATATCATCAGCATAAAATTTTATACAACAATCCAGATTATTAGTTATAGCAGTTAAATCATTAACAAATAATAGAAACAATGAGGGACCTAATACACTACCCTGTGGAACTCCACTAACAATGCGTATTAAGTTTGATAGATAATTACCAACCTTGACTTGTTGATATCTATCAGTGAGAAATGCGGAAATCCAATTTAGAAGGTTTCCTCTATATGATGCAAGTTTGATGATAGGATGCTTATACGCTTTTTTGGAAATCAATATATACAATATCCATTTTTTGATGGTTATTAAGTGCGGTGCTCCAATCATTAGCAGATTCTAAGAGATTAGTTCAGGTGAAATATTTGTTAAGGAAACCATGTTGACTATAAGATATTAGGCCATGATGACTTAGATACTCTATAAAATACACACTGGTTATTATTTCCATGACGCGACAACAAGTGCATGTCAGTGAGATAGGTCTATAACTATTTAGATCTGCAGTAGCTCCTTTTTTAAAAATTGGAGATAAAAAAACTTGATGCCATTGTTTAGGTAAACAACTTGACTTTACAAGCTTCGGACACCAGTGTTCAGCTCAGATTGCTACTATAAAACTATTTGCAAAACAACCATAGAAAATTATTGCTGTTCTAAAGCCATTGCTTTACCTTCAACCAAAACATTGAGCCACGATGAGTAGATGACTCGTCTTGGCAATGAAACAGAATTTTTTGCAAGGCGAATTGTGATAACAAAATTGCAATAAATCTGGATATCCAGTTTTTTCCCATGAATTCTCCAAACATAAGCTTGAAGTGAATATCTTTAATGCCAAGGTTTGTCATTCAACAAATTCAATTTAAAATTGGGATTGTAATAACTGTTTTTTAAGATTCTCATTCACCTGGTTAATATAGGAAGAACTGGTAAAAATTTAAGACAACTTTATGGAAGATATTTTGCATTCTAATAGTTTAAAATAGTCTTCATTTTTCACTTCTGGAAACACTTTAGATTTTCTCAACAAAATATACTTAAAGGGTTTATAACTTATTCTTTAATCTATATGCATTCTAATTTGTATTTTTTAATGTGATGCCAGTATCTGTCACAGAAGGTGAATGACCTTTAATTGAGAGTCGAGCTATAGTAAACAATATTAGCAAATTTTTTAATTATATTTATAACAAATTAAATATATCTAAAAGTATTTTCCAGGCCTTGTTAAGAATCGTTACGCAGCTCGCATTTTACCTGCGAAAAGGCGATTTGCTTACACGTTCAGCAGTTTTGCCTTACGCAAAAACTTTATTCTTTTAGAATATTTAAATTATCATTTGATATCGTTTATGTGACATTTATTCAGAAGAAAATAAAGTCGTTAGTAAAAGCAATTGTAAACTAATAGATTTTTTGTTAAAGAAAAATTTGTTTAATTATTTTTATTGTTGTTGTTGTTAAAAATTAGTTAAAAAAAATAAGTGTTTTAAGTTTAAACTTTTTATCATATTTAATATTAAGTTTTATATTTCATAAGTTTAAAAACAATCAAATTTAAAAAAAGAAATATTTTCAATTTATTTTATTAAATTTAAATATTTATTAATTATAGTTTTTAGTAAAAAAAATTTATTAAATTTAATTAAAATTCTTTAATTTAATTTTAAAACAGCATTTTAAAATTTTTTAATTTTAAAAATATAAAAAATGTAAAAAAATTCAAAATTTCAATAAAAAATAACAATTTTATTTGAAAAAACCTAGATTTTTAATATATTAAAGGGTATTATAGACGCCCTTCTAATGCCCTGGATACATTTTTTATGTATCCTTATTTTCCTTTTTTAGACCTTTTTTATAATACCAAGTTTTATGAATTTTGATAAGAATTGATAAAATTATGACATTTTAAGTTAAGAAAAATTTGGTCATGGTTTCTTCAATAAATCCATATCAAAAATTTGGTACCTAAAATGCTATAACTTTTTGTAGAATTGTTGGGTTTTGATAATTTTTTCACCTTTAAAATACTGTTTTCAAGGTTTTTCCAATGATTCGTGTCACATACCTAGCAGTAGGCTATAAGATAGTCAACATATGTACTGAAGCCAATAAATATTCCTTATATTTAAAGTCTCTACTGCCGAGAGCACAACAAGCAAAAAAATAAAAAAAAATTTTGGCTACTTAAATGAAGCTTTACTTATTGATATTTTTAGTTATGATTAAAAATATACTGATTATTGTTAACATATAACAACTTTTAATTAGACAAAGATTACCTGCTAGCAATGATATAGGCAGAACTATTCGAAATAGAAAACAGATTATAAATTCTGGAATCATTTCACTATCAGCAAATTACCAAATAAGGAAAAGACATTCCTGCGATAATTGCTGATTATTATTTTTTTACATAACTTTGTAAATATTCTAAAAAAACAATATTTCATATAATAATAGAATTAGAACTTCTGAACAAAATCCACTTTTTAAATCCATCAAAACAAAAAATTATTTTTATTATTATTAGTTATTATTTTATAAAGTCCTATTATTTTAATTTTATAAAATGATACATTGAAAATTATATTAGCATGTAAAACAATCCATACTACCGACGTTTTATGGTTTTATTTTAATATAAATCAATTCATAAAGTAAATTATTCGTTTCATTTACGAAAGCATTGAATATTAACTATAAACAAAAACAAGTGGCCATATAAATAAGTTATAGCAATAATTTATTTATATTTATATAGTGTCACTTGAATTTGATTTTCCTAAACAACTTCTGAAATATAAAAAACGTAGAAAATAATAAACAATTGAAAACTTAAGAGAAAATAAAAATATCTAATAATAATATAGAAATTTGTTTATAATTAAATAGTGATTTACGATCAAATATAGTATAAATAAAAAACAAAAAAACAAAACAAAAACAAAAAAAACATTTTTTATACTATTTCTCCGAAAATTCATAATGACACCTGGGTTTCCACGACCCTATGTTCAGCGGTTTAATTCAAATGTATCGACTTGAAACGGAAAGAATCTGTCCCGCATAACTATTAACTACCGGCAATACATCTTAGAATTTCTTAGTTAAGTTTATTTCAGTGGTCAATATTTTTAAAAATAAGCAACGATCTGTACAAAGTTTTGAAAAATGATTAATTTTCACTATTTTTTTTAATTAAAACTAGATGTGCTGCGATTAGATGGCATCAGGCACCTCTATATATATATTGATATTCATCGGTTTTCGCACACATCTGTCACACAAGTACTATACTCAACGAAGTTAATGCACGTTCTGGAAAATAAATGAATTTTGTGTTTAGTAAAAAGGCTATTTTTAACTGAAAACAAGTTTAAAATCTGTTTTTTCGATTAAATATGAAAGCTTTTATTAATTTGAATGTGATGAACACAAAATTTGACACACGGCTCGTTAGACTTTAAATGTTTTATGTCTTAAAAGTCTAAGTTCAAATTTAAATACTATTCTGATATGCATCACCTCTTATAATGTTACTAAGCTAATTAACTAAAAATCTGGTCTTTAAATTATTTGAGATTATTGTTAATATATGTAAAATAGCGGCAAAATTTAATATTTCATAAGCAAATTCGGAAAACAAAAGAAAGAGTAAAAAACATCTTTATGAAAACAAAAGAACAAGTAAAAATTTTATTTTCACAAAAGATTTATAATACAATTAACTTTATCTTTTATTATAATAGAGAAGCCTGTTGTCGATCCTTTAACTTGTGGTTTGAAACATGAACTGGAAATTATATAATAAAATATAAAAAATATAAGTATATGATAAAACTTTGTCAAAAAGATCAATTACGTTTATATGGTGCTTATGTAGCGTTTGTGGTTTTTATGGTTTATGTTTGCTCATTAAATTTTTTTTTATAATTTTAACTACTTTAATGCCTCTTTTCAGGGTCAAAGATTTTTTTTTTTCCAGTTTTGTGAGTTTCTCTATGACGCAACGGAATGGAAAATTTGTCTATAAAAAAATTAATATAATCAGTTTCTCCTCTCTATCTTTCTTTCTTTCTTTCTCTCTCTCTCTCTCTCTCTCTCTCTCTCTCTCAATATTGCATACATATCATACAGTTCTGATATATTTTGTTCCTACTCACAATACTCACAAAATACACTTTAAAACTTTCTTTGAAACTTTCCCCGCAAAAAACTGCCATTAAATAATAAATACCCCAGCTAACATTTTATAGCGGAATTTCAGTTGACATTCATAGACATTTTGAGTGGACTACTGTAATTTTTCTGATCGGTTACTTAGTGGACCATTAAGGGCAGCCGCCAAAAGTGGTTAGCCGATGACTGCTAATAATATGATGCCGATGACCACTAATAATATGTCGGAAAATTATCGGCTTGCCGTTTATAGCGGCTGTCACTAATGGTCGACTAAGTAACCCATAAGCAAAACTCCAAAAAATTGAAAAATACCAATATAGATCTACTATAAATTCACAAAAATAATGTTTGTTGGGATTATTTTAAGGGGTCTTTACTGTTGAGCATTTTTTAATCTTATATGACAAATAGTTCTTAAAATATGGTGGGTAGAATATATATGGTTCTGAATAATCAGTTTTGTAAAAATGTGTTTTAAAATGTATTGCTTTTTGTCTAGAGAGATGGGACGTATAGGGGTGTCTAGAGGGGGCGTAGGGTGAAAGAGGGGACGTAGAGGTATCTAGCCCCCTACAAATTTTATTAGTCGGCAAATTGGACACTAGAGTCGTCAATATTTGGATTTATAGTTGGCAGTCGGCAATTCGCGACGTTAGAATTATCTTGTGCTATCTCCATGTTTTTGCAAATTGAGAAAATCGATGTCAAAGTTTGAATTTATTTAAAAATGTTTTATTATTAATTTTTAGATAAAAAAAACTTTTTAAAATTACGCTAACGCCCTTTTTTTCGCACCCTCTTTTGGAGACAGAACAAAATAACTTTGGTTTTTAGTAAAATTCAAAAATATTATGTTGTTACATCATATATATTAAACATATTAAGTACATTTTTCAACAACGACATGTTAGAAATTGATGAAATTTTGTTCTACCTGCTAATTATTCTTACGCAGTACCATACACTCCTAATTTATGGGCATGGGCCCCTAAATTAGGGGCATGGGCCCCTAATTTAACGGGACCCTTTTCAAAATATAAGACGCTTTTTGTATTACCTAAAAAATTAAGTTTTTTTAAATAAAATGAGGCCCTAATTAGGAGAACTTTTAGAAGAGCCTCTAACGACACTGTTCTTACGAATTACATTTACTTTAATTACCTGTAGGCGCCGGCCCTGGACAAGACTAAGACGTCTAATTTAAAACGGAAAATTTGGCTGCGTAATAATAATATAAACGTATTAATATAATATAAACGTATAAAATAAATATGAAAGGTATATAGGAAAGAGTTATGTTAAAAAAAATGTAATAATAAAAGAAATAACATTATGTAACTATCTGATAATTCACAACAATTCAACTAATCTAATCACAAACTCCATGCAAGATGAACTTGATTTTATTTTTCTTATGCCTGTGTATCCATTAATAGAGTTTAACTTTTTATTAAAAGTTATTGCAAATATTGACAAATAAAAAATTGTTACTCAAGTTAACGTCAGGAAGGGCATCAGGTTGTGAAACATTGCTTGAACTCTTTCATAGTGGCCTTTATGTCACTATGGAAAACCATCCAAACCAAACAAGTGGGGGAAAATGAATATAAAAGTACAAAAAAACAAACAAAAAAAACACAAGCTAAACAAAAATTTTTATCAAGATTTCAAAATAATATTATTTCAATGTGTTTTATATTTATATTTATACTAAATAAATATTTTATTTAAATATGTTATTTATATGTATATTATTTATATTATTATATATATATAAATATGTTATTTATATTTATACTAAACATATAACAACCCTAAAAATATTTTGACTTTATTAATGTTTTGTAAATGTTCAATTTATTATTGTTTTATAAAATGCAATATCAACAGCAGGCATGTATGAATACATGGAAATGATATCATTGGCTTTTGCAACAGATATAGACTGATAAGAAGCACAAAAGCAAGCTGCCATTGGTATATTGGTATTTAATGGTTTTGCAACAATGATTGATGCTGCTTTCTTGACAGACTTATTTATACGAGCTTGTGAATAATTATCTGAAAACGAGGTTTTAAAAAAAACATGGTATGGCAGTCCGTTTCGATAAACAAGATTTTTAACCTTTGAATTAGGCACTAACTTATAACTTGACAAACCAGCGACAACTGAAAAATTCTTTACATCTCCTAATTGCATTTGGTAAACTCAGAAAGGTTTTTTACGGTTTACATTTTTAATAGCTCTTTCTAGCCCAAGTGGACTAAATATTTCTGCAGCAGAGAGGGATTTTTCAATCTGACTATGAATGTTGTCACATTCTTGAATGCTGGAATGACCTGGCTCGCAGAACTTCTGTTCAATTACTTTTATTTGTGGGTATCGTATTATAAATTCACACAAAGCTGCTGACATGAAACTATTGCGGTTTTGTGGTACACATGAATCGAACCAAAGTATGAACTTATTTATGTCAAGGTCAGCCATGATTTTCAAAAGCAAACATGTTACAGCACTGGCTAGATCATTTCCTCCACGACCAGTCATGGCTTCGTGCCAAAGGATGCAATAACCCTTCCTGTTAAGCGAGCAATGACCAGTTAAGTTATAATTTGAAAGTTTTCGTTTGTAATAAAAGTTTCCCACATTAGCTCTAGGCAAATTTAAATTTCAAGGTCAATACAAACAATTGCAGTTTTAGAATCAACATTTTGGCGATCATTTTCAGGTTCAGTTTTGGTATCATTCCTTGATTTTATGTGCTTATTATAACTATCTGTTTGTTCATTGCTTGCATTAACAATGTTGCGATACTCATAGCATGTGTCACATAAATCTTTCTTCGGTTTTTGAAATTCTATATTGAACTCGTGATTAAAGATATAACGATACATATGTTCTTTTGCTGGAGGAGAGACATTTTCATCACAATATATTTTATAAAGATCATACATTCTACCTATATTTAGTGATCCTTCCATGTATTCTTTATGTGTCTTTTTCCTGCTATAATGAGCATCAATTCTTGGGAAAAGGTTAATATGGTCTCGTACAACTTGTTTAGACTCTTCTAGTAACCTTTTTTTAACATGTTTCCCTGATTTTGATTGCAATGGTGTTCCAGTAGTTAAAGATTTATTAAACTTATGAAAGTAAAACACTCTATGGCTGCTAATATTCAATGTTGAAAGATAATATGATTTACAAACTCTATATTGTGTATTAGAAACAAAAAAGCTATAATAATATGTTTTTCTT